CGCCGCCGGGCCAGGGGCTCAGGGTGCCCCCGCCGCTGCCCGGGGGGTGGTCCCTGCCTGCCTGCGGCCTTTGCAGCCCCCTCGGCGGGGATCAGCGAGATGAAAGCGCGTCCCGGCATCGGGGACTATTGTGCCGGGACCGGATCTCTCCCAGATAAGGCGTGAGCAGTAGTCCAAGCGAGGAGATGATAAGGGACTGAAAATACATGGTGAAACCGAGATACGGAGAGCAGATGGAGACGGTGCCAGTGCACCTGGCGGCACCAGCCCAATGGGAAGGTGCCTCGTTGCCCCTCCTGGCCGTACCTCGCTGGGCCAAGCTGTGGGAGGGGGTCCCCCCCCAGCCCCACAGACCACTGGGGTCCTGCAGAGCTCCCTGGGGGAGCAGCTCACACTCTCCTCCTCCAGCAGCCCATGAAATCTTAAGGGCCCTTCCCATCAGCGTTTAGTAACCCACACCAGGAGTCATTATTTCTTATATCCCTGCTAGATCTCAGTCAAAAAACTTTGGTTGGCAAATCAGTTTCTTTTTTTTTGTTTGCATGGTTAGCTCTTGAAAAACGCAGCTTGCAAAAGCAATGCAGAAAGCAGAAGGCCTGTTGTTATAGCTGTTTTTTCCTGTAAATTAAATCTCATTAAATTAATTAGATCAATATATGGCAACTTATCTCCCAATGGCCTTATAGATATGTCTGCAGTACCCAGTGACTGGTGCTTGCCAGCTGGGGAAAAAAGAAAAACAGAGCATGAAGTGAGTACAAAGGGTACTGGAATTAGTATGTCATCATCAGAATAATGAACAGAAAAATATACTCGTCTGAAGTCCAGGATCTGATCTTTTCACTCCAAAGTGAACACAGAGAAAAGCTTTCCAGTAATTCAAAACCAGAAATCTTTCAAGCCGTCAGCACTAGAAATTAGTATTTCATTGAATGGGACCCGATTCCAGCACAGATCAGCTCACAGATGCCTCCTCTCCAAATCACAGTCACATGGTTAATCTTCTCTTCTTTGAGAGGTCATTCTTCTACTGCAGTAGTTGCAAGAGCTGCCTGTGCAAAAAGTACCATTAGGCAAATGCACAGGGGATATTCAGTGTCACACAGTGCAGTTCAGAATCCAGCTGCCCGTGCAAGTCGGTAACTGTGGGGCCTTTTCTCTCTCTTCCCTCATCTTCAGTATTTGCTTTTTCTTCCAGTGGCTGAAGAAAAGAAAATCCAGGGTGACATGACCAGTTACTTAGCTACAGACCATGAGCAACAGTTCCTCAGGTTGATTGTGACCACAGGCCCCTCACCAGGAATCTCTCTTTTGTCACTAGTGTCATGGAAAATAGGGAATACAGTTTAGAGCAGGTCAGGAGAGGAGCAATTTATTTACTGTATCTGTAGGGGAGAACCCAGAGCAGCAGGGGAGCTGACTTTGCTGGTATGAGCTCTGTCCCTGTTTACATACATTTAGAGATGCTATGCAAAAGACAGATAACAAGATGTGACTTACACAGACCTCTTACCTACACAAGGCCACAGACCTGCTCAAGGCAGGTCTGGAGACTCTTTTCTTTAATGCAGGGACTCATTTATCATGGTTATAAAACCATTATAAAGTGGGAGTTTGACCAGGAGGCCAACTTGGGTCTTAGTACTGCTCCTTTCACAATGGAGAGCTGAAAACTGCGTGGGAGCACTGGCTTCTTTCACAGCTGATCACCTGCAACCGAGGCAGCTCTAGCTTTCTCTTCATGGACAAAATGTGCTCCCCATCCTTTCCCGTGGAGATCACCAAGAGCTGTAAGTCATTACTGTCTAGCAGCTGTTTTCTAGCTTCAGATCAGTGGTCCTCAGCAGGAGGGGTGTTCCTGCTACAGGTCGTCTGTGGTTGACACCACTGTCTGTGTTGTTAGGATCTCAGTCCTTGGCAGTTCAAGGAGTGGATGAGCCATAGTTTCTAGGTCCTTTCTGTCTCCAAGAGATCCAGAACAAAACTGTTCCAGATCAAGCTAACTCCTCTCAATTCTTTCAGTTGCCCCAAGGATGAACAGCAGGCTTCAGTCTTCTGAGCTGACTGTCTGGAATTAAAATAATGACACTAATTATAGTATGTCTGAAGTGTGTTATTGAGTTGTTTTACTCAAAGCACAGTAGTTTCCAAAACTGGGAGCAGTCTGGTTAACATAACTGTCCAACTTTGACTTCCCAGGCTAAATACCATGTACTTTTGGGCCAGCAGCATTTGGTTTTCATACCACTCTGACCTGGCTTGAACTGGCACATCTGGATCTGTAGTGAGAAGCTGCAAATATCCTACCAGCGAGTCCTCTCTGGAGTCTCTTGTTTTCGCCGAGTTCTCTTTCAGCAGCTTGTCAGCACAACCTGCTGTATAGACATCTGGGACACTCACCCTGCACTGTCACTGCAGTCTCTGGGCAGAGTGTGTGTCACTGAGGCCCGTGGCCTCCTGTGCTGCCCACGGGATGGAACCGAAGTTGTCAGGACTTTCTGAAAGCCCACACTTGGAACACACTTGGGGCAGGTCTGTGAGAAACAATGCAGTGTCTCCCAGGGATGCACCAGGCCATCCCATAGGAATGTAGTAGCTTTTAGCTGGGTGCTTCCCCTCCACAGGGAACAGCTTTTTTTGGGATTGACAGTTTTTCTTAAATCCTAAAATTTCCACTGAATGCCATTTATATAGGTGGTACAGGAAGGGGGAGTGAAGGTCCTTTCATGGGGAGAGAAATGAGAATGACATGAGATGCACGTGCTGCAGAATAGGTTCTAGACAATGCAAAATAGGTGTGTTGCACTAAGTAGCTATGACAGTATGTCTGTGACTGAGTCTGCCTTTAGCAGGAAAACTAGAAGTAAGGTATATTATCTTATGCAGGAATAATAACCATGAAAGCCCTTAAATTTCCGCTCTGTAAAGCCCTCCTGTCATCTCAGTCTCTGAGAATGGCCACAGCTGGCTTGGTTTTGCTTATGATTTATGCCTGGCATGGATCACTTCAGGCGTCTTCAGGCACAAGCTAGGCCCTGTCTCAGGTCAGCTTCAGGCAAAGGGAAATGAGGCAGATATCTGGGGTAGCAGAGCTCCACCTTGGACCAGGAGAGGGAGGGAAATAGCCTGAGCCCAGTGGCGGCCGGAGCGGTGGCCGTGGCGCCGTGCCCAGCCTGGTGGAGCAGGGCAGCTCCAGGGACGTGATCTTCCCCTCGTAGCCCAGGGCAGGGAGCCTGCGTGAGCTCGCCTGCACTCGCGGGCAGATGGCCCTGGCCTTGTGCCCGGCTGTGCAGCCAGGCTCTGCCCTCGCCCTCCGCACACGCTCCGTGGCTGCCTGGGGCTCGGGCAGGAGTCTTCCCTGTGCCAGGCGGCGCTGGGGGAGACACCCAGGGCCGAGCTGCTCTCTTGTACCACCACCTGAAGGCATCAGCACTCAGTTCCTGTCTCAGCAAGGCCAAGCACAAGCTGTGGGTGCTGGTGGGAGCAGGAAGAGAGCGGGAGCACTGGTTTGGTGCTGCAGGGGCTGGAGCGCTGCCTCTCACTGTGCTGAGCCCCGCAGGGAAGGTGTGTCCTGGAGGAATCTGCCCTGATCCCCTCAGACACCAGCGTGTCACTGGCACAGCAGAGCAGAATCACTCTGCTCTCACCTTCAGGGAGTCAGTACCCGTTTCTAGCAGCACTGCAGAGACACTGTCCCTCAGGAGGCAGGACAGCAGATGTGGCACACTGGAAGGCAGCGGTGTTGGACCAGGCAGGAGGAGGAGGAGGGAAAAAATGAGTTGCAGAGGGGGGCCCCTCAGAGAACAAAGACTGTAAGTGAAGAGGAGCACAGTCAGGGTTAGAGGCTGGCACGTGCTGGTGGGATTTGGAGTCTGAAGTCAAGAGGGTGCTGTGGTTTAAGTACTCAGAGTGTTAAGCACGACCCCATGTCAGTGCGTCTCATTACCAGACAGGAATATACTAGATTTAAATCCGACAGGAGTTCCATATATATATACATACATATCTGTGTATATATGTGTATGTAGATATTATATAGCTACACCTTTACCTTAGGGAAATACACTGTTGGCATTTTGTCTCCTGCAGCTGCTGCTCTGCAGTATGGACAGGCCCTGGCTTTTCTCTCACACCTCTCACTTGGATCCTTGCACAATGCAGATGGTGCTGTCATCTCTTCTGTATCACTCTCCACTGAGATCCTGGAGAGGAGGGGAGCTCACGCTTTATTGTCTCTTTCCTCAGGAAAGAAGAGCCCGGACCTCGGGGAGTATGATCCCCTCACGCAGGCCGATAGTGATGAAAGCGAAGATGACCTGGTGCTCAACATCCAGAAGAATGGGGGGGTCAAGAACGGGAAGAGCCCCCCTGAGGAGGTGCAGGACCCTGACTCTGACCTGGAGGTGGGGCTGACCAAGCAGCAGGGGTCTGCGGGCGCGCCCGAGGGCTTTGCAGCCGAGGCAGCAGGGGGCGGGGGGCAGAAGGCGGCCCCCCGCCTCCTGCCCTACCTGCGCACCGCCCTCTTCCTGCTCACCGTGCTGCTCTCCATGCTCCTGGTGCTGCTCTGCGCCTTCCTCGTCCCCTGCCCCCCTAGGGACCTGCACAACACCTGGAGCCGCAGCCTGGGCCAGGGAGCAGGTGAGAGAGCCCCAGGAATGGCGGCTGGCGCGGGGGGGGGG